AGGCCAAGTGGACCGGCATCCGATGGAAAAAGGGCAGAATAATAAACGTGCTTTTCCGACACTATGTCATTTTATTGAGGGAATTCATGGAGCTGGGGGTAACGCTTGAGACCACCACCAAGCGGCCGTTACAAGATGGCACCATCCACCCTGAAAGTGCGCCAAACCCCACTCTGACGTCACCACCAGCTCCGTCCACTCCGAGCCCACCTTACGTCGCTACGTCACCCGTCGCTCCACCCACCTGGGGCCCACCTCCCGCAACAGCGCCACCCACCGTGATTACGTCACTGCCCCCGTACGTCGGCCAACGCCACCCAGAGGACGTACAGAAGAACTGTAACCATGAGAGCAACCAACCCACAAGCAATACTGACAAGAAGCACGAGAACGGAAGCAACAAGACAGACAAGTAACAGCTACCAGAATGCAACTGGCACAAGCGAGGCCAATGATAATAATGATGAAATGACAGCCACAAGTCAAAGCACGGACACCATTGAGGCCAATGCGGATATCAGAAACAAGGAAGCTACGAATGAAACCAAAAGCTTAAGCAATGCAATTATAATCAATCAAACCAGCAACGAATCGGAGTATGTAACTGCATACCCAACTGCAGTACAAAAATTCATGACTGGACCACAAGGACAGATGCAAACAACGATAACTACGAGATCTAGAAACCGATTAGAAATGAGTGAACTTAGGAAAGACACCCAGATCCGCAGTGACGAAACGCCTATCACATGGTTGGGATGTCTGGTAGCAGAAGCTGGCAGCGAAACTGTTAATCAAGAGGAAGCGTTGCAACTTGTGAGAAACTCCGGATGGAGTACAGCAAAGGTGGTTGACCCCGTTCCAGTTTTGGCCAACCAATACTGGCCGATACCAATACCTGCTTTAGCAGTAGAGGCCCTGCAGCGCAAGGTTCACGCTTGGCACAAGGGTTCAGCTGACCGTGCCAGTGCGGCCTCATTAGTGTACGCCATAATCGGAGCATCTTATGCTCATTGGAATCCTGCTTATCAACCGTTGAACCTGACACCAGCCCAGGTACAGGGAGCATGGCCGCACAGGTATGCTACCACCCCCAGGGACGTACCTTGTCTGGCTGAAGCCATTGACGCTGCCACTGAGATCTATGGTGGGGATCAAGGAATCACGGCCAAACTGTTGTTAAACGCGTCCATTAATGGTCCTGTCATTCACACCTTGGGCCGACTGGACCAACTCCAAGGAGCTGTGAAGAAAACAAGGGTGAACCTCGCTTCTGGCGAGGAGCATGAAACAGTTAGAGCGTATCCAGTAGAAAACTGATCGCAAAAGCCTTTTACAAAACCGCCAGAGAAGTCGTTCATGCGTGACCATCCAAGACCTAATCGGATATCATCAACATCGAAGTATTCACCTCCACAAAGAACACCGATGGAGAGAGCCTTATTCAGTTTCCTAGTTAACAAATCGGCGCTAACAAAGGAGAAACTAAGACTGTTAGGGGACGATGGTCAGTGAGCCTTAGCAGAGACTCTAGGCTTCCAGAGATATAGTCCCAAACCAAAAAACCAGTAACCGCCATCGGCGTGAGTCCAGCGACCGGCAGCTATGAAGATTCTGACAAACGGAACAATGAATGAAATACGGACCCCAAATTGAAGCAGGAAACGGTAAATTTTACGGTTAATAGAAAACAGGAGACAGTTGGAGGAGAAAAACAATACAATTTACACGGTTCTACGGTGAATATGATTTGAACGGTTACCAAGGACGACAGGAAGTGGAAGATAGTCAGATTTTCGGATACGGTACAAGAGAAAGATACGATCGGTGAAACGATATGGGAAAAAGATGTGGTTGATAAAAAGATTCACAGGAAAGACAAAGACATAATGATGATGAGCTTTACGAAACTGTTGGATGACAATCAACGACCCTACACCACGATTAGTATCCAGAACCCAGATGACCCCTTGGACGAAACTATTGCAAGGTTTCTACTTGATACGGGAGCCCAAGTTAACGTAATTAAACCATTCATCCCGCATAAACGAACGAGTAAAATCATGATGGTGCAAGGGCTGAACTCAGCCTCGGCGACGTCACGAGTAAAGATCTTCGTGAAAGATCACAAGAAACCGCTCGAAGCGGTATTAGGACATGTAAACATCTTGGGGATACCAGGTATTCGAGCATTACACCTGAAGAATCAAGTACTCGAGGCCCTACCAATTAACATCTTGCCTGAACATGAGTGGCACCGACCATCCCTCCAGGTAACCACGGTTTGGAGGTACACTCTTATACCCACCAAACAACAGTTCCACGATCAACTAGACACATTACTCAAGAGTCTGCAACAGGATGGGTCCATCACACCAGTACATGCTAGCACTCGACTGTCACCCGGATGGGGGATACCCAAGCCGGGGAAGCCAAATGAGGTCCGTCTCATCGTGGACTATCGCGAGGCCAACAAGAGATGTACTATCCTGACCCAACCGGCACCCTACACCTTAGTTCAGAGTCTTAATGAGATGTCAATATACCAGTCAGAGGATTGGGTTGGAACAACCTTGGATTTGAAAAACACGTTTTTTTCCATTCCAATTGATGACAAAGAAGGTATCCTGAACATGTGCATAAGGGGGAAGATGTTCCAGTGGAATGTCTGCCCGCAGGAGCATTGCAATGCCCCTGCACTAGCAACCAGTGCGATGAACGAGAGCCTTGACCGCTTCTACCAGAGACACCCTGAAGCCCGTCAAGTCCAACTCTGGAGTTATATAGACGACCTTGCAATCATGGGACGAATGGGAAAATTAGTTCGAGACATCACAATTAAACTAGTACACCACCTGAAGAGTGATGGATGGACTGTCAACAAAGGCAAGTCTCAATTGATCCCAACCAATCAAATTAATTTTCTGGGAACCACTTTCACCGGACCCAGATGATACAGGGTGAGTCATGAGGCCATCAACATCAATCTACCAGGAAAATACGCAACGAAAAAGGCTGAATTTCAGTCGATATTGGGCAAACTAAACTGGTACCGACATTACATTACTCCGCAACATTTACCGGTACTAGCCCGCATACAGAGACAACTTCGAGAAAAGACTAGACAAAAGACACCCTGGTCTCATAAGGATGCCAAAGCCCTAGATGAACTAGTAATTTCAGTTCAGAACACCACACTGCAGGCCATTAACTTAGAGATACCCTTGACGATTACCATTGGGTTCACTACAGAACACCTTTTTGTGACTGTGATAAATCCCGAGGGAAACCTTGTTTACATTGCTCATAAAACTCTCCAGACGACACAGCACAGATATGGAGTTATCAGGAAAACTCTCCTTGCTGCTCAATTGGCAGAACCGTTAGCCATCGGGAGGGGAAAGTTGAGAGCTACTGGAGCAACGTTACTGCCCCGACTTGCCTATGATCGACCAGACCCTTGTTTTCAAGGCGAGTTGTCTACCTGGAGTGCCCTGGTACTCAACCATTTATACCAATGGCACGCTTGGAAGCACGAAGACTTATCACCACCACAAACTATAGCTGAGACCCAAAACATTGTATTATATGGTACTACCCAGCCAGCGTGGATGGCATCGGATGGTTCCACCCGTGAAAACGGGAAGTATGGCTTTTACTGCCATCCATGCTCGGAACATAAAATCCACCCTGGCTGCGAATCAGCTAAAAAAACCGAACTTTTAGGGTTCCGAGACGTCATATATCACTGTTTGAAACATCATAACGGAACTCATCCAGTACCGATAATCGCCATTGATTCCTAGTACATATACAAGATAGTTACAGGGATGGCATCTCTCACAAAGCATCTCCCTTTATGGGACAAAATATATGCATTATTATCTGAATTTTCAGTGCTGCCAATAATCAAACACACAAGATCCCACCGGGTCGACACCGATCCTGTGCACCGAAAGATTGATGAACTCCTCGAACATCCCACCGAAGTCAACGTATTTACCACCCAAATCACTGACGAGACTGTATGTGCCAACCCATATTTTAGTTGGTTTCATGAACACTGGGGCCACCTGAGTCCGAAGGTCTGCTACAAAAAATGGCGCAACGCATCACAGGAGAAATCTAACTACGGATTACACCAGGATTGGAGAAGAGTCACCAAGGCCTGTGAAGCCTGTGCCACAGAAAAAGCACATCCAACAAGCAATCTCAAAGGTGCACTAGACTCAAAAACCTTCTCACCTGGGAGTTCATGGCAAGTGGACTTGATAGGTCCTTTACCAGGGGCTGCAGTCCCCAACAAAGGACTAATAGCAATAGACTTAGGGACACGTCAAGTTAGTCGCACCCCTTCAGAAGACTCATGCAACCGCCGTGATTTCCGCCCTCACCAGCATTTTTGCTGTATGGCAAGTCCCTCAAATAATACAATCAGATGGGGGAGCAGCATTTACATCAACTGCTATTGACAAGTTTGCTCACCTCCATAATATAAATTGGCATCGCCACCTGCCCTACCACCCCCAGTCTAACGGGGTGGTGGAACGTGCCATAGGGATATAGAAGGAGGCTCTGCGCCTGAGACGACAGGGGTTGTACAAGAATTGGACTAAGTTAAACCATGAGGTCCTGATAAATTTAAACTCAGGAAAATGACTCTGGGCGGAGAGTGACGACAAACCAGAGAACCCACGGAAGCTGAAATTTCAAGCGGAGGAACTTGTGTGGGTCTCCCTACCAGACCCTAAGAGTCGCCACCCACGAGTGTTAAAGGCTGTAGTACGTTCGGCCGAAACGTACCCAAACACCTATCTCGCTCAGCTGGAAGACAGCGCAAGGACTATTTTAGTACATCATAATTGGTTAGCGAGACGGGCCATCACAGACTCGATACCATCGAAAGATGATTAGATTTCTTCATTTCTATTTCAGATTCCTGCGACCCGGGACACTGTACAACCTCAAGGCCTTCAAGTAGAGGAAGACCACGGACCAACATGATACCGACCAAAAATTGGATTTGGATTATCACTCTTTTCGTGCTTGATCCACTTACCGCTGCTTATAGGCCGTGCGAGAATCCACTGACAGATGACGTGGATGACATCCCAGAATTGATTAAAAATCTTCCAAACGATTATAAAATAACCCTTAAATATGTCAATGAGATGGGATATATCCACAAGCATTGTTGGCTGCATTTGATGGTACTTGAATTTGCAAAGAGCCTGAACAACTTGCTCCACAAATTTCCACGAACATCTAGCGCGTCAAAAAACCACTCAATCCTCAACAGTCTCACACGAATGGTTGACAAACTTCTAGAATACCTCACGTTGGATCAACAAAAGAACTTTAAAAAACAAAGTGACTATTCCTACGCAGAAAATGAATTCAGTCCTAAGGAATTCTTCAAACAACTTAACAACATGATTGAAACCTTTAAGGTGTTTTCAAAAATACCGGAGTATGATAACTGCGTTTTCTCTTCAACAACGGAAGCCCTGTGTAATGCTTCCGAGGTCACTGAAACAGAACTACCTTATCCACCACCTCCTGTCGCCACTCGTTCCCTCAAAAACGATTACCTAAAAGAGATAGATGTAATGCTATCATCTAAACCAAAAAACGAGGGATCTGAACTTCTACAAGCTAAAAGAGAAACCACTCAAGGGCTGAACCAACTGATTACGGCTGAGCAACGGGCCCAAGCCATACTATTTGGACTGATGCTAATTTTATTTTTCATCAGCATAATCTGCTTGTTTTTTGCCTATAGATCCTTATCGCGACAACTGAAAGTGCTATCTACATTCGTCTACGTAAAGTTACCCCCTCATCTTCACGTTAAGTTTGAGGATGAGAGTGAACTCTAAACGGCTCCATGGTCCTCTGTGTTTCCAGCAAGGGGGCATAATGTCATTCTTTATATGCTGAAGAACACAGAGGGAAGAAAGTAATATGTAAATAGTTTCACCCCGAGACCAGTTCTGTCCTGTTTGTTTTGTTTTATTCCAGACTCATCGACCTGATTACGGCTGGTTCGGGACATTGAGGGATCGATTCAGAGCGGTTCCGAAGCTGGATGAGCCTGGACATCATGGCAACGAGACTCAGAGACATTGCATTGAGCCTTGTTTTGTGTATATTTTGTAAATATGTTACAAACCCATTGCCCAATCCAACCACGGAATTTAGGCATTCATCCAGTACGGTGCTCCAATTATTATCCCTGTGGGCTAATGCCACTGGGGAGGACAAACGGGGCCAGGGGTTAACCACTTGCCTGAGGATTCCCATATCAGTTGGGGACCCGGTCCTCACCCCATTCTTGATACCCTTCAACGTAACCAAATCATTCTTAGATGTCTCGGCAAACGGAAAAACATCTATTAACATCTCCATACCTTTAAAGGACGGGGGTTACACTATCACAGAATATTCCTGGCCTAGGAACTTCACCTTAAAAGACCTTTCCGACACAGCAAAAAAGTGTTATAGGAGAAAAACTCCATCAACATGTTCTGCTATTCCATGGGGAGTAAGCCCCCAGGGCGGTGAATGGTCCTGACCTGATGCATCATTACACTGGGACCCCCAGTCCATCAATCTGCCCTGGCATATTAATTTAAGTCCCAGGGGGAAAAAGGTCGCCCCTATAGTCATTCTATCGTCTCTCACTGAAGCCACACCGTTGGGCTGAATGGGATGAAGAATCAGTCATTAATTTGACTAATTCTGGACCGAATAAGGGTAATTCATGGTACGGGTTCTACTACCCTGTTCTCCAGGCGATATTATTAAATGCCGCATGCCACGGTATTGAACTTCCAGTGACGCAAAAAGGACCACCTGAAAGAGTAAGGCATGCATTTCCCTACCCAGATATATGCTCCCAATTGGACGATCTTACCAACCCGAGTCCTCTGAAAAACAATCCATGGTTAACATTCCACTTCCCCACTTTACGGGCGGTGTTGGAAAATACAGTATGCAACAACACCCCCGGACAACACAAAACCCAAGGACAATCTATACATACCAAGTTTCCCCCAAGCCGACGTGATGAACTGACGACACTGGCACCTCTTGGGTTAGCCTGGGCATGCTCGGATGGCTGGCTGTATACGACTCTACCAGCCACGTTAACCAATGTTCAATGTTTTCTGAGCTCGGTTTTATTCTGCCCACCTTTAAAAGCCTCTACAGCTCATCCACCGAGCCCTATTATAGTGCACCGACAAACTAGATCCTCTACCCCAGTGTGGAGCTCATTGACCTGTGGGGAGAAAATAGCCCAAGGCCTCGGCTGGGCTTTTGAGGGACTATTTCTCTGGGGACTTGCTATAGCAAAAGCCAGAATAGCTCTAGCCAAATTCGCTGAGCAAGTGGAATTGCTAGCAAATCATACTGCCCTCGGATTCGAGTTGATTGACGAGCAACTCTAGGCCACCTCACAAATGACCATCCAGAACCGATTGGCACTCGATGCCTTATTGATAAAATAAGGAGGTTTGTGCCAATTCTTGAATTTGTCTAGGGACATGTGTTGCGTTGCAATACCAAATGTATCGGTTCCATTACAAACTCAGGTCAAAAAAATCCGAAAAATAGCCGAGGACGTGAATGCTATTTCTGGCATAGGACAAGGTTGGCTATCCCAAATATTTAAGATGTTGGGCTGGAACATATCATCCTGGTTGACGAACCTCTTAACACCCCTGTTATCATTTTTGTTAGTGTTCCTGTTAATTGTTTTCCTAGTGAGTTGTGTGTTCAAGGTAATAACATGAAAAGTGTCAAATTTGTCAGTCTATGTATACTCTACCATACCCACTTATGAAAACTTCATCAACACAGATGAAGCAGAGGACGATTGCTGAGGTCTGTTTCAACTCCTGTATTGACAGCAAGGGGGCATGTCAGGGAAATTTCTTAAAGCTGGTGCTGCCATTACAGGGAGTTGAAACTGCCTAGCACAGACAGGCCTCCAGCAAGTGCCCCCTGAACGACCTGCTAGCTGTCAATCACAGGTGACCTACTTTCTGGCCCTGCGCAGGCTCAGTAGCCTTACAGCTCTCACTCTCGCGCAGGCTCAGAGAGTTTCTGTGAGGTAATCGGACTAGAAATTTCTGCCAAATTGGCCACCAAATTGGTATAAAAGACTACTGAGCCCCTCCCTCGGGGAGAGATCCATTCAACTGAGGACAGAGGCTGGTTCTCAGGGACTGTCCCTCAGTTAGGCTCTGCGGCCTATCGGTCTCCTCCTATTGCGATTTTCCGATTCGTTCTGCACTTGTCTTATTGATTTCCTGGCTCTCGATCTAACTGGCACAGGCTACGACTACAGCTTTGATACTGATTAACGGACTCTCAAACTGAACTTACCTTGATTCCACGGCTTCCGACCTCAGCCTTCATCTTCGACCATCCATCCGTCTCATCGTACCTGGCATTCGACTTCGGCACCGCTCTTCATCAACCTCGACCTCAATCATCATTTTTTGGACTGGCGTCACGACGCTTACATCATTCACTGCATTACAGTTTGTTTTGTTTTTCCCCCATTTATGAGCTGTTGACCAGCCCTGGGACCCCTTTTGTTGTTTGTCTGTTTATTCTTTCTGTAACTGAAGAAATCATCTGGGCCTCCGCTGCCAAGCGTGAGTAAATAAATCACCTCTGTTTCAACTTATACATACGTGCGTTCCGTGCAGCTCATACTCCACCACCGATAATCCCGCCTATCTCGTTCCAATTGCCACCACCCGGCCATACCACCGTGACCAATACCGTGAGCGTGGCCCGCCAGCTTCGGGTTATTGACACTGGGGAACCCCCTTGGCTAAACAGACAACTCATGGACATCCTTAATCTTAAAAGAGAAGTGTATAAGGGTTGGAAGGTGTGGAGGTTTTGTGCACAGGTTTGGGGGAAGTGGGGCTTGTATGGGAATTGTAAAAGGATGTGAGGGTGTGTCTGGGGTTTGTTGGGGGTGTGGGTATTGGAGTATGTGGGGTTTGTGGGTGGGTGGAGAGGTTGTGAAAGGGTGTGGGGATATGGGAGTGGGGTTTGTAGGTGGGTGTAGGACCCCCAGCCATACATCCTCCCCATGGTGCGTAACTCCTGCCATGGGTGGCTCATCAGCAGCAGGCCTTTGGTGCACTCATGGCTGTGGTAGGCAGGCAGAGCCCCCGGTGGCATGTACTTCTGGCCGAGTCCCAGGGCCTACACATGCTGGCATAGTCAGCCAGGCCCACTCAGTGCGCCTTCATACCAAACCAGGCTGGATCTGTGTCAGTACATGGGGCTCATGGAACTGCAGGCCAGAGTTGTGCGCCATTGGGTCAGGTGGGCTCCATGCCTCCACGTGCAGCTTCCTGCTGGAGTACTGGAAGCCCCATGTGAAGGCAAGGAGCCACCCTAATGGCACACGGACCACCCTAATGGCACACGGACCAAGAGCCATTCAGCAGTGGGCCAGGTGGGCTCCATGCCTCCATATGGGGCTTCCAGCACTCCAGTGTGAAACTGCATGTGGAGACAAGCAGGAGCCCGCCCAGCCTGATGGCATGTAACTCTATGCCTCCATGTGTGGATTCCCACCCGGCCCAATGGTGCAGTGCTTCTGCTCCATGCATTTTCAAGCCGGGCTGGGCCGGGCCTGCCCACTACATGGAGCTTCCAGCACTCCAGTGGGAAGCCGCACAAGCAGGTACAGAGTTGCGTGGCATCAGGCCAGGCAGGCTCCATGCTTTGACCTGCAACTTCCTGCTGGAGTGCTGGAAGCCACATGTAGAGGCATGGAGCCAGCCAGCCCATCCTGATGGTGCATGGCCCATAGCCACCCACAAACCCTACCACCACCCCCCTCCTGCACGCAGGAGTTCCCCCCTCTCTTACCCACCTGTTCAATCATGCGTCCACTGCAATAAAATTATGCAATTATGCAAAGTTATGCCTTTAATGTGCAAAACTGTGTAGGGACAAAATTGCATACTCCTGCAGGGTGTAATAAACATGGCTTCAATACTGAGGGTGTTTGCTTGAGCCAGAATACTGGTGTTTGTTCTTCTGTCCTTCACATTGATCTGGAAGATTTACCAAAGACATTGCTAATGGTAATGTTCCAAAACTTTCACGTGTTTCCAATATATCATCCAAATTTCACACCCAAACAACTGGGTAGGGATGATAGCAGCCTGATAGATGAGGCAGGCCGGCACTTATGTAGCTGCTTAACTGCAATTTTTGGCACTTGTGCAGTGTTTTGAGTCTATTTTTACCTGTAACAGATTAAAATAGCTCTGGGGCATGTACACCCGCTGAAAATAAAACATCAGAAGAGGGGCCCTCTCACTTTTTAGCCCAATCGTTCTCAACCTTTTTTGACCTCAAAACATCACTTGGAAAATGTCCAGTCTTAGCTTTCATTTGTTCCTTGACTACAGAAAAAAAAAAATAAAGAAAATTTTTGGTGCAAAAAACTCCGAAAGACCACAACGTCAGAAGGTTTTTAGCACTAGGGATTTTTATTTGAAATCTCTGGGCATTTGTACATATGATAACGTTACCACGTACACGTGACAAAAATTTCCCTTTGTGTGGCTTAATGGGAGTATATATGTGAGTTCTGAATGAGTTTGCTTCATCACAAACTAAACCACATCCCAAAGTAGTTTAGTTTACAACATTGCAACTTGGAACATTGCATCCATTAATCTGTTAACTCACGCCCCGACCATGGGAGAGGCAGGCAGTCTCCGCTGAAAAACAGGATTGGGTTCCTCACTACTTTTGCCTTCAGCAGGTGCCTGTGGCCACCAGGATATCTGGGGCCATCTGGGAATAGGCTGGCTTGCCCCTGGGGCAGCAT